ATGTTCATTGCGAGATCGATTACTACTCACGTTGTTAGATAATTACTCGCGCCATCAGATAAATGCTTATGTTGTAGATTTTTTAATTTCTTGTAATTTAATTTCTTGTATTCTAACCTAGTAATGCGACACCGATATCCAAGCTGTTGTAACGCACGCAATTACGCCTCTACTCTTTCGATCTGTACATTTCAAATATTTATTTGAGTTTACATTAAATCGCCTTATGGCTTGTGAGACAGAAACAATGAGTAACATTTCTTTGTGAACTTAGTAATTTCCCGCCAATCTGTCTTCGCCATTAGTTAGCAGTCGCTGGCCGCCCAGACATGCTTGACGTCACATTGGGCATAGTAGCTACAATGTAGCCACATGTTGCTGCGCACTATTGCCCTCTGACAAAGTGGATATAAATTACATAGTAATATTTATTTTTCAAGGCTGGAGATGATAAAGCGATGTTTGGTACACCCATTTTATCAGAGGGCAGTAGTGCGCGACAGCATTTTGCGGTTACAGATTTTGGGCCGTCATGTTCTCTTTCAGGTTTCTCTCTGTTATAACACACAGACATAACCTGAAATTTAAATTTTTGTATAGATGCACGTCTAACATGCTGGGATAGCACAGAAAGTCTTTAATTAATGCGCCATTATCACTCATTTCCACCCATTCTTTCTCAAGGAACCGGGTGGTTTTTCCATCCTTTCGGGTGGATAGAGGAACGTTCCACTTAAGCACTCAAAAGGAATCTGAACGCTTTCTGGATGCTGGGTGCACTCGGGTGGGGAATTTGAACGCTCTTGTATATATCTACCATAGACTTTATATGCTAGATAGTAGAGTGTCTTCGGTAATTTGCCAGGAAGTTTTCGAACGTATTTTTATTACACGTCTTTAATATTACTTCGTCAGTGCGGAGACGTGTATTTATCTTAATTTATCCTATACATGACATTTCATCGTTCATTGACGATATCATCATATGAAAGTTGGTTAGTTCTTTCGTTTTTCATTGTCTGTTCTATTGCAAAGGTTAGGATAAGCTCGATACATATAATTAGTTAAAATGCATAGATATATCAAAGTGAACTGAGAAACAGAAAGAGAGAGAGCGAGAGACATAATTATGTCTTAATAACTTTTATTTAATATTATCAATTTTCTTGTTTATTTTTCTCTAAATTTTATGTCATGACTAAAAGTTTATTCCTTAGTGGCTGAATTGGTGTACACTTATATTTAAAATAGACGATATTATACTTGAAATTTGGTGAAAATGAGATAGAAAATTTTAATACACTCTGATGTAACGACAAAGAACAGGTCTTAAAACAAGTTTTTGTTGTAGAAAATGCTGGCGTTGGAGCGTATACCTGATCAAATTGGATACTTGGTATTAACTGAGGATGGTGCTGTATTAACAGTAAGAGACAGTTTCTAATGATGTTTTTCTTTTGTAACAGCAAATAGAATCTTCTGTGTTTGTGTTACAGTCTGGAGGAGATTTAGAAAATGATGAAAGAGTGGCAAATATTATCAGTAATTTAATAACACTGACAAATAAAGTTGATCCTAAGGCATTTCCGTTGCATGATCCTTTTGAAAAGATATCAATCAAATATAAGGATCATTGTTACGTCGTGTGTCTCTCCAATAAGAAGATTTACGTAGTGAAGAGAAAACTGCCATCTCAGACTACAGCAATCGTCGAACAGCAGTCTATCGATGTTTAGATACAATAATAAACCTAATAATAAAGCCTACAAAACAATAAATATACTCTTTGTAAATTTTGATATCTGACAAATTCAATTTCTTTGATCATTGCGAGAGATCTCTATTCACTGTTATGTACCTTTAAAAATATATGTATTTTAAGAATGAAATTAGTGCAATGTAGTTATAAGAAACATTAGCTGCAGAAAAAGCAGCTCTTTGCAATTATAAATTTTTTAAATAATTAATTTATATATCTAGAGAAGAATAAAAATTACACAATTAGAATCGGTGAAAGGAGCTTGGATTGATTCATATATTTAGATTCAGCGAAGAATTATAGAAGCAAGAATTAATCATATTGAAGAATTATACAACAGTTGCAAAGCTACTTTTTCTATTGAACGCAGCCATTACATGCCTCTGTTAGTTCTATAATAATTTCTTTCAATCTTTCGAATAAAATATTCTTCCAATATGTAATTTGAAAATTATGGCTATGATTATTCTCAAAATATATTTTTTATCAAAATATTTTTTGTAATTTATGTATAGTGTTGCATTTTATTTCTAACATTAATGCATTTAGTGAAAAATTTATTTTCGTAATTTGTTATGTTTAAAGAACTGAAAAGGATACGGGAAGTAGGAGTCAAGCGCAGGAGACATCGCGCAAATAATGTATTTATGAAGTGTGAAACTTCTTTATTCACTAAAACGCTCTGTTATATTCATCTGTTATATTTACAAATATATATTATATATATCGTACAATATATTTCCAAATAGATATATAAAATACTAAGTATCACTATCGGTACTGGAACTATCATAATTGACTAGAGATATATTCGAACTACTAGTTTTGGAGATAGTAGCATTATTCGTTATTTCCTGTGTTTTTGGTGATTCCTGGCTTTGTAGTTTTAATCGGTCATTCGAAGATATCTTTTTTTTATTTTTAGATCGTATAATCGAAACTAATCGTTTCAATTCCACACCTTCTTGTTTCTTTGCACCTAAAAAAAAAAGCATTCGTAAAAGCTTAAATGTAACAGGAAAATGTGCATTTTAGTTTGCTTAAGTGCTGAATAAATACCTTTCTTATGAGTCAGTAATTTTGCTAGTTTGATATCATCCTCATGTTCATTTACCAAATTAATATCTAATCCAGTCTTTTTTAGTAATGCATGATCTTCAGCTTGCTTCTTCTGAAGTTCCTTTTTTCTATCCTGTAATATGAAATGTATAAGTCAGTAAAAATTTATATCAACATGTTCCATTCTGCATGCCAGTGATTTTCCGTTCAAGCCATTTGACATTTCGTGTATAAAAGAAACGTAATTATATAAAATAATTTTTAATATACATAGATACATAATGATGACATACTGTGTGATACTGATAAATAAACCTTTATAATAATTTTTGTAATTTTTTTAACCATTATAAAATACATGTATTTAACAAATTTATATACAATATACGCGAACAAAAATACTATCATCAGTGATCCACGCAACATGATTAAGCATGGAGAACTCTTGTTAATAAAATTAAATAATATTTAATTTATAAACTGTCTTAATATTACTTATATATTATCTTTTAAAATATTTTACACATTGTTTACCGCCCAAACTCTCAATTACTCCTTTTATACCAGTTACTTCGTTTTTAAAATTAAATATACTTTATGAAAAAATTATATAAAATTAAATTTGATAATACTGTACCCGAAATAAGGCTCTCACTGCACAGTTTGAGCTGTAATCATCTTTCCAAATATTTTCATTTAAGGCTATTGCACCTTCCAATGCTGAATTTCGAGATTTGGCTATTTTCTTATCTTCTATACCATGCTCTAACTTATACATTGCATCGTCATACAATCTGCATGAGACTTCTTTTGTTTCAGGTACTACTTGCTCATTCTGTTTAGGATCCCATCGATTCTCTTGACGTCTTGCACCACTCACTATGACGTAATCCAGATTCTAAAAAGATAATAAAAATATTAGCAAATATTTCAGAAGCAATAATTTATTTGCATTATCAATTGTAATTGTAACTTACAGCAGGATCAGTTTTTATTTCAAAATGATTGTCACAGAGATGACACTTCATGCGAAATTGATAGAGCGGGGTGCTATAATACATTCCAACCTTCTTTTTTTCCGCATTATATCTAACACCCATGCCGATATGATTCCCACATCCATTGCACCATATATTATAGGGCATCTCAAATCGTATAATTAAAATGCCCATGTGTAGCTTGCGGGCCCGCTCACGCAATGCGTGAGTACCTAGGAATTTATTAAGACCACCGGCACGGGGATCATAATCCGGTGGATAGTACAAATTTGTTCCCTTTCGTTCTCCCATTGTGCTATAATTTATTTAAATATAAAATCAATTAGAAACATAAAGATCTAGCAACATTAATAATATTTATAAATAATTACGTATATTGGGTAATAATTATTATTAAAAAATTTGTTTTTGCTACTATTACAATTTATATGATTCCCTTATTTAAAAAGTAACATGAATATAAAATGGTAATATTTTAGTCATTTTCATAAATGAGTTAGGTATAAAGATTATCAATCATCAAAAATAAATTAAAAATAAACTTAATTTTACAATCCATTTGTTAAATGGCACTGTATTGTACTTAAGGTTTTTAAAGAAATCATAACATCTTCTACTAGATATTTTATATATATAAGCCTGATATTTTATTCACTACTGGATATTGACTTCTTCTAACCTTTTTCATTTCACATGGTCTTTGGAAGAAAGAAGTTTGGCATTAAAACGTTATGTTTGCCATGTATGTTGACGAATACATATATACAAGATGTTATGATCTCTTTAAAAAGATCTACATAGTTATATCATTCTTATAAATAAAAAAGAGAGTCTTCTACAGAGAACATTTAGAGTTAAGACTGTTATAATAAACAAAGTTTGAAAAAAATCTGTTATTTTAAATTTAGTCCTTTTAGCTGATTAAGGTAAATATAAATTCTTGATGATATTTTGAGTTGTCACTTTCGATAATTTATTCCTGAATTTGTCATAATTTTGACATCAAAATCATTATAACTCAAAAAGTGTGCAGGTTTTTCAGGGTTATAAAATGTGAATGATAAAAATAACATTTAATCTTGTTGGTGAGTATATATTTTACTTCGATATTATTTGATTAGTTTAATAATTTAAATTAATAATTTTCTGTAAAGTTGAAAATAATTTTTTCTCTTTTCTGAAAAATAATTTTTTAGAATCTTTTTGTGTCACTAATTTTGAAATGAGATATCTGTACGCTATAACAAATATTATAATAAATGTTTCATTATACCTTGATTGCTTTTTAAAGCTGGAAAAAAAAAATAACTGGGTTTGTTTAAAACAATCTGTCCCGGAAAAGATATAAGTACTTCAATAGACTCCTGCGATGTTGATGTTTTTCAATAAAATAGGTTAGAATACAATACAATTGATAACATATTTTGACATATTCACTGGCCACACTAATGCGCACTGAGCGTGCAATAAACGAGAGTTTCACTAGGCTAGAGTCCCATGCAAGGTGGAAGAGATAAGAGGGGTGTTTTCCAATCGCAATATCTCTAGACACTTTCGTGCACGGACACAAGTTGCGTTCCAGTTGTCCGTAAAGCTGGTTCTACATTAGTTGCAAACTGATCACAAATTTGTTGCGACAGCCAATCTGAAGCTTGCATTTTGAAATCAATCCTTCATATTGGCTGTCGCAATAAACTTGCGATCAGCTTGCAACTAATATAGAATCGTCTTAAGTTGCCAACACACCGTCGCCAGTCGCAATGCTTTATGACAACCAATCAGAAGCATTACTAGTTACTATTGACGTTTTTGATTGACTATTGCAAAGCATTGCGACTGGCAACAGAGTGTTTGTAACTTATTGTAGATCACGCTTTATCGCCGATATAACATTACACATTTGTCCTTAGTCGAGGGCTGTGTGAGGATGCAATTACATATAACGTGGTACGCGGTACACGGTGACAATATACCTTTAGAATGAAAATATCGGTAAAGCTGCACACTCATTGGATATCGCGTGTTACGCGCTGGTGTGCCGGAGCCATTAAGGTGATGTCTTATGCAGCGGATCGTGCGTAAGCGGATTCGTGTATCGCCAATTATAGAATTATTTGAATAGATCTGTTTGCAAATTTCGCAAGTGATGGATTCCGATTAAAATTATTCCGTTTTCCCCAGAAAATACAATAGAAACCTAGCTCTAGATCAATAATTGAATAATTCCGATCGGAATTTATTCCAATTTTATTCCATAATAGGTGCCCAGTCTTCAGAACACCGACCGATAGACCGATTTTGCATTTCAATTCTCGACACTCGCGGCGCTGAACTTTGTAGTCTAAAATCACTAGATAACAAAGTACCGGGATGAGAAAATTCACTAAATTAGCATTTGGAGCCAAAATGTCGTATAGTTCAGATAGTGCATTTCATATAACTTTCTACACAAGTGCAATCCTAATCTGATTTTGTTATAATGTTTATATGCGTTTGTGGCTGTGTAAATTTAGAACTGGTTAGAAAACGTCAAAAATGCCCGATTGCTATATTCAGAATTGTAAAAATCGCAGCAAAAGAGGCTTTTGTTTACTTCATGTGCCAACAGGCGATAGACGCGAAGAATGAACTTCAATTAATTGACAAAGAAACATTGTTGGAAAGAACTGTAATCTATGAGGTATAATTTTTTTATCAGTAAGGTTTTATTTTTCTTTATAAAGCTCATTCTACATTAGACGCAAGCCAATCGCAAATTTGTTGCGACAGCCTGAAGCATTTTGAAATCGACGCTTCATATTGACTGTTGCAACAAACTTGCGATCAGCTTGTGTCTAATGTAGAATGGGTTTAATATAATACAGTAAGTTTTAAATAACCGCGCGTCATAGAGCCAAAATGATGAAAGTTCGCGGTACTTTGTTATCTAGTGACTTTATTGTAGTCCTGCGCATAATGAATACGCCGTAGGAAAAGGGAGGATCCCGTTTGTTTACAATTCCGATTGCATACACCATTCACATCACAGCTAGTGTATAGTAACTTTTCACTGCTTATCAATGAGAATATTTTTAAATTAGCCAATTAGCGATGCATATGTGCAATCGGAGCCTTTTCGTAGGAAAAAATATCACAAACGTAACTTAATCTTATAAAAACAATTTTGTCTACGATTAATCTTTATCAAAAAGGAAGACTTAACTGCAGACAAAATTGTCTTTATGGAGTTAAATTACGTTCGTGACACTGGGTGCATTTAGAACAACAACCGATCACTGAGCGCTTAGTGAGCTCTTTCATATAATTGGTTCATATTTTAGAATCTAATGGAATGTGCCAATTAGATGAAAGAGCTCAGTGAGTGATTGTCATCTAAATGCACCCACTTTTTTCTGCGACGCTTTCACTACGCGCAGGACTACTATAACTACTAATAAATGTTTTTTAATTGTAATTAGTTTATTTATGACCAAAAAATATGTATAAGTGCTTCATTTATGTATTATTTAAATTAATACAGGTTTATTTGTTGTAGAAGTTTAGTACATGAAAGTGAATGAAGGGACAAATATAGTTTAGAAGGTGAGCCATCAACCACCATACTTGAAATTCTGTATTTTGGTCATTTTGACGTGACATTTCTGAAATTAATTGCGGTACTTTAAAAATCTAATGACTTTAGACTATAATGTTCACAAGCGTCGTGAGTGTTGAGAATTGAAACTTAATTTGAAACGCAAAATCGGTCCACTTTTATTTATGTACGTGGAATCTCTTTATGGCTTCTGCACACTGAACGCGGAAACGTTTGCCGCACGGTGGAAGTTATTACATTAACTAATAATTCTATTGACTTCTGCATACAGAACATTAAAACTCTCTCTTTTTATCGGCTTTAAAAAAAGAAGGAGAGATTTTTAAATTTTAGTTGAAGTTAAAATAAAGTTGGTGCAATCGGGACTTATGCCCGTATTCATAGGCCTTATATTTAAGGAAGTCTTAAGTACAACCGATTATGATACGACATTAGTCTTCCGTCCTAGAGGTTATCTTCGATAAAGCGGGAATTCACGTTGTATGTACGAGACACTCACTGTGACAGTGGGAATGTTCTTTTTACATTTGCTTCGATGCAACAGACAAGCGGGAAAAGACCGGAAGAGGAATTGCGTATCAGGTAGCGTAAGTATATGTACTATTTCCATATCTGATGTCAAACTCGAGATTATACGTATGCGGTATTTCGTATTGAGTCAAATTTGAGATCATGGAGGATAGAGACCAGGAGACCGAACTTACATGAACAAGGCCGTCAAAAAGTGTTGTCGAAAGGATTAAGGCTTGATTGCGCACATTATTGATCGGACTAGAGAGCCTCACAGAGAGAGAGAGTGGCAAATTGTATCACGTGACCTGGTTTCCTCTGATTGGATCTGGTCGTCAAGTTCCGTACAGCCATGGTGAGGGTATGTCGTTTAGGTAAGATGACTGCAAAAGTAGTACGCTTGTCACTTTATGCTACATTTTTTCCTCAATTTTACAATTGATAAGGTCTTTATAAGTAATACATCCCTGCTTAAAAAAATCGATGGAATTGAGTACGATAGAGATTTAAGGTCTATCTGTACCTTACCGCTTCTATCTTGTTTTTGTCTCTATATTTTCAAGATGAATACTGACACGTTTATTGAATATTTTAATCGTATTTAGTACTAAAAATTATATTAATTATTTCATCGGGCCATTTTATATGGTTTATATAAAACCGCAAAATGTAGATACTGATCCATAAGAATTTCCTGATAGATTTGAATTTATCTGAAGTAATATAAAAATCCAAATACTTATCATATTGTTCTGCATCTGATTTTTTCCGATATATGTGTGGTCGACGCATGTTCAACTCGTTTTTACCAAACATAATTACTAGTATGTATCAAAATCTCTATAATTACTAGCAATTACAGAGACTTTTAATAAATTCAATTTCTTCTAAACATATATTATCAATTTAAGATATAATTTAGCAAAAACTAGCTATAGAGGCCCTCCACCCCATCCCTGCCAATTTTATCGGCGATCCTCTTTTCTTTGTAAGAATACTTACCCATAAAAAAAATGAACTACTAATAAAGTTAATAATTCGGTTTTGCAGATAGGTATACGAGTATCTAATTAATTTTTTTATTTTTATGTTTAATTATTTTATCATATTTTGCTAATGAAATTGCAATAACTTTTTAAATATTATTCTTTATTGTATTATCCTTTATACAATTCGATATTCCACAATTATAATACAATTATTATTTACAATACAATATACAATTATCAATACTGTTCAAAATATAATAAAAATGATAGGAGCCTAATTAAATTTGACGGATTATATGAAAATGTAAAAAATACATATGATACCACAAATTTTTCTAAACTAATGTTTAATGAAATATTGATAAACGCAGAACAAATACTAACAACAATTAGATCGTATTAACTATTAATTATTAATTTGTGAATATGAAACTTAACAATATTGCAATAAAAAGTCATTAATATATTTATGACTGCACTTTCATTGCATTCAAGATAACTATCTCAATAATTTCATCATATCAAAATCCCTCCGCCTTGTAGTATGCTGGTCAGTATCCGACACAAAGAAGAACAATCTACGTAGTGGAGAGCGAACTTAATTTATTCTGATTCTACGTCAAATTCATAAGATCCATTTGCAAAGATAAGTTAAGCATCCGTTAAATATCAATAATCTTGTTTAGAAGTGTGCATCCCGAATCTTTCAGACTATACTTATGATAGTAATAATTTGGGTAGCATATCAATTACAATTACCATTTTTATCATATCTTTAATATAATATAAAATTCTTTAATATTAAAATTCGAGAAATATGTTCTGCCACATCACTAAAGATTATCTCTTAAAAATAAACGGATAGAATGATTTCTTTATGGAATATGGAATGGTTATGAAAGAATACATTTAATAATAATAAAATACATACGTTATTGTAATTTTTTATATGTAGATACGAGTTTCTTGGGTACCAAATGTTTGAGATAAGCCGAACCCAACAAAACAACGGAATTTTAAAAAACTATATTTTTATACTGAAGAATTTATCATATAATATAAAATTTAATAATTTTTATTTTTCCGTATTTTTCAAAATTTTTAATTATTAATATCTCATTAATATGAAGGTCTATTGACTTATCTCGAATTTTTTGTACTCACACATTTTTAATTAAATTCATGTAATTACGATAACATTGTTAAAAGAATATGAACTATTTTGGTAAAAATTATCTAAGTCGACAAAGAT